GTGGCCTGTTACAAACTAGTCAGGGGGGATCAGCAGGCACTGGGGAAATCCCTGTTCCCCCGAGCACTACCAGTATTGACCAGGAATAACGGTCACAAGCTGGCAGAGACTAGATTTAGGCTAGATATCAGGAGGTGCTACTTCATGGTCAGGGTGGCTAGGATCTGGAACCAACTTCCAAGAGAAGTGGTGCTGGCTTCTACCCTGGGGGTCTTTAAGAGGAGGCTAGATGTACACCTTGCTGGGGTCGTTTGACCCCAGTACTCTTTCCTGCCATGGCAGGGGGTTGGACTAGATGATCTACTCAGGTCCCTTCCGACCCTAGAAACTATGAAACTATGAAAGTTGTCTCAGACTGCAATAGTAAAAATAAAAAAGTACAATGTTAATTTAAATAACAGTAAACATATGTTCTACTGTAATTTTCATGTAGCTTGCATGACATAATTTGTATGTTTCATTTAAATAAGAACCTTTTAACTAACCAACGCATAAAAATACTAGAAATAAATTTCTAAATACACAGAGATAGGGACCTACTGAAATCATGATTCGGGCAGGCTCTGTAAAAAAGTGAGGAATATAAAATGTCCTCATGACCACTGTGGCCTGGCTGTGCAGCCTGCCAGGGAGGGAAGAGGGAAAGGAAACTGTTGCCATGACAAAATGGCTGCTGTCCCCTATCCGTCACCACTAATTGGCTGCAAGTACTGTCCATCATATGGCCCCACCCCTTGCCACCAATTGGGTCAAGCACCAGGGCTGCATGACGGACAGCCCTCGTAGCCAATCAGCTGTGAAGGCCAGGGCCACATGAGGAGAGTCCTTGCAGCCAAAGATGAGGGGTAGAGCCACCAGGGCCCCATGGCCAGAGGCGTGGAGGAGTGAGGGGGAAGCACTGCACTCTGTCCATGAGAATTGCTGTCAACCCTGTGATTTGCACACAAAATCAGCCAGCAGCTCCCTTGAGTTTGGTAGATCCTTACATATAGATCTAAAGCAGACATTTGTATCCTTATTCTTTATAGAGAAGACTTCACTGTGCATAATCTGGAAAACTGAAGCTACAATTTATACACCAGACTTTTGTTGTTTAAAATAAAACGTTTTCTACAGTTGAAGTCAATGAAGCAACTCAATTCTTATTGTACTGTTCTGGCATCTGGAAAGAACAAAGAGTTATAAGCTAGATGTCAAGTTTTTTTAAAATAATCACAATTAAGACTGTGCTAATCTTTCATTTGTAGTGAATGTTCAGATTTTAAATAAAGTAATATCCTACCTACAGAAATTCTGGATTTTCAGAAACTAAGACTTTCTTCACACCCTAATAGTTTTATTTTCCCCACCTTGTATCAAAATAAAATCATGACAGATGCCCTATATCAGGGATGTTAAATATATGGCTGAATTTGATCCACAGAACCATATGGTTCTGCAGGTCGGATCTGGCCAGCAGAACGATTTCATCTTGCCTGCCTGTAACCTAGTGGGCTACTGAAGTTGTGGGCATGCCTTGCTTCAAAATTTGGGGTCCCTAGACCCCAGTGGACAAGGCCATCTGACAAGACCCCCCCCAAGCTCAGCACTGTTACCTACAGACAGACCGGTACCACCAACACCCACAACTGCCTCAACACAGCCCCCATCCACAGCCTATATCACTGCCTGTCCCCAACCATGCACTACTGCCTGGCCTCAGACCCATGCTGCCACCCAAACAGCAGTTGCTGCAGATCTATCTGGTCTGAAATTGAATATGGCCCAGGGTCCAGCATGAGTTTGACACCCCTGCCCTATAGGGTCAGACTCACCTTGAGCCCTGGGTTCAGATCCAGACTGAAGGGCTCCTTGCAGACTGGATCCAGCTGGGACATTGGAGCAGCTGCCACAATCACCCTAGTGGCACGTCCAGCAGTGGCGAGAGGTCTAGCAGTGGAGGTCTGATGGTGGCAGTGGTGAGCCAAATCTCAATACTGGTGACCATGGCCAGTGGGGCCAGAAGACCTGAAATTCTGTGGCAGGTCACACCCCACAAGCAGCATGGCAGGCCAGACAAAGTGGCTCTGCAGACCAGATCTTGGCTGCATGGTCAGATATCCCTATTATATAGAATACAATCAGCAGTATTTAACAAAACTACTTTTACAGTTCAAGATTACAGTATGCCAAACGCATTTTATTTCAGCACAACAAAACATACATAAAATGCTGACATAAAAGCAAACATTTTATCCAACACTGGCAGTAAATTGTACAATCATCAACATGAAAACAGTAATGACAGTGACTCACACACAGCAAAGTGGATTTTTCTGCTGAGTAAGACATTTATCTTTGCAGACTAGAGCAGGGTTATCAAGATCTGGGCCACAAAGCCACATCATCTGGCTCCTGGTGCTAGCTTAGCAAGCACCGTACTAGCCCCACATGCAGGGCCTGGGACTTGCACTACAAGACCCAAATGAGGTTTCTGGCACCCCCCTTCCCCCTTCTATATACTAGATCTAGCACCCATGGTGCCCACTGTGGTACATAAATCACACATGATGTCCATTCCAGGACACAAGCTGTACACAGTGGCTGCTCTGGCTGGTCTAGAGTGTGTGCTGTATGTGGTGTATTCTCTGACCAGTCAGAGCAGGCACTGGATCTGGCTTGTGGGAGTGGGTCCATGTGTCCCTTGCACGCTGATCCAGTGCCTCCTTGAGCTGATATGGGCCCCATGCTGTATGCAGTGCTTGCCCTGGGTGCTAGATCTAGCATGCTGCCAGGGGAGAAGGAAGTGTGTGGGCGGGGGGCACAGGGGACTGTGGCCCTGAGGCCCTGATTTGGCCCACAGGATCAGCCCCATGCTGTTCTTACACTAAGGGGACAGATGAGTTTGACACCCTTGCGGTAGAGTCCATGTTCTTGCATTTCATTTCCAGAAGATTACACAGGTGCACAGAATTTCTTTACAAAATACCTAATTCTGGTCCAAAGTTAATGGAAAAGTTTCCTGTATCAGCAGCAGTGTGTTTAATAGCACCTGGAGCCCATCAAAGATTAATGTAGCTTTATATGAGGCATTCCACAAACACATATGAAGAAGTTGGTCTCTGCTCTATCCTGGTTTTTGACAGGCTGCAAACAGGTGAACAAAACAGGATACAGAGAACAGAGGGAAGGATGACTTATTAATAAAATGAGCACTTTTTTAATTTCATCTTTTCCCTAGTCCCAAAAGGAGCTGGATTTACCTAATAAAAGTCCTGCAACACTTGATTTCCTCAAAGTTCTCTGCGATATTTACTTTCTTTTAATGCCTAATAGGTGCAAAGATACTCATTTAGAAGCTAACCACTGCAGTAAAGTCTTCCTGAATCTGCAAACAGCAGTTGGGGGAGGGGAAGACACTGGTAAGAATTTCAAAACTTCCTGACTATGCAGAAGTTGATACAGCTATCTCTGCTGAATTAAGGAGCTAGTTATATTATTGTTCAAAGATACTAGGGACTTATTTATTGGTAGGTTGGTTCACCAGGAACCTTATACATTAATTTAAAATAGCTACAAATAACATTAAATTAGATTCTATATATCTTTAGCACAGAGCTTAGTGATCCTGCATGCAATGGATACAGCAATATTGCAAATAGACTTGTTTACCAGGGATATGCTAGACTATTTTAGTGTCCCAAACTGAGAACAAAAAACAGCTTTTGTCTCAGTTTCAGAGAGACCTTTTTTCTGCCCTCAGTGGACACTTCCTTGATATCAAGTCAGGTTCCAGACTGAGATGGCAGGCAGTGTTGTGCCCATTGCTTCCTTGATTTAGACATGAGCATATGTGCACCCAATTCTGGTAGTATGCAATCAGATATGTCCCAAAATTCAGGATTATCAGGCTACACCGTGTACTTACTTCAGTGGGATGGCAGAAATCTTAAAATCCCTGGGATATGAGGGTGGCTCAATGTCTCTATAGACAAAGAAGGCTGGTCCGCATAACCTGAGTTCAGTACCCCTACCTAGAAGATATTGTATTTTACAGACAACAAAGCAAACAGGAATATCCCTGCTAAATTCTGCTATTCTGTCTAAAGCCCCTCATACAAACTTATTATTCTGGGGATAGCTGAACTGTTTTTACTTAAATTCTTCAGATCGCCACTCAAGTACTCCCTCACAGGGTGATTAACCAACTTTGCAAATGCTAACTGTAAACACACATTATGCATTGCTATTCAGTTTCCATAAAAAATGTGATTATCTATATTGCTGCAAAATTAGCCTCAAAAAACAGAAAAAAACAGAAACTAAAATATGTTAATTACAATAAAATTTTACATTGATAAAAACTTTAATAATCAAAAGATATTGTTGGATGATTTTTGATTGTTAGGTTTTAAAGAATCAATTGCTTTTAGCTCAATAAAACCACTTTTCCTTCCTTAAAAAAAGACACTGGACTAAGTGTGACACTGGAACTCTTAATTACTTTTCATCATAGCTTGGAGGCTTGTGGTCCTAGAAATTCCTGCTTTTTAAATACTGTAGAGTTTTACACTAAGTGCTCAAGAAACAGTACAATTAAAGACATATTTTCAGTTGTTTTACTCTGCCTTGGCCTGAAGTTTGTTTTTTTCTGGCTGAAAGAAATGTTTTTCAATAGCATTGACCAACTCTTCCAATTCCTTCTTGAGTTGCTCCAAGTCACTGAAAAACAAAAACAAACAAATAAAATGCTCATTCTGGAGAAACAAAAAAGCTAAGATGAAAAGGAAAGGACATCATCATTCAGGCTTAAAGAGTATATTCTCAAACCCAATGCATTATATTTTAACCATTTTATTATTGTTCCTAGTAAACTTTGTACTGAATTTCATAATTTCTTAGAACCATATGTGGGACTCTGCTAATATTTACCTCTAACTCAAGAATTTCAAAAACTGAAAAACAGAGACAACTTTGAATTGTAATATGATAATAATTTTTAACTACATTTTCTACATTACATTACTAGTTTTCAATGTTGTTCAACTTACATATGTAGTACAATTTTTAGAGGAATTTTCACTCATGATAAATAAGGTGATGGGTAAGCATGCTGTAACAGAAGTTAGCATAAATATTTTATTAACCAAGCGTATGTTTTACATTTTGTATCTACATATTGCTTCTCATTTTACTTTGAGTCTAAACTCAGGAACTGTATTTTTCTAACAGATCTGTACAATACACAATGCAGTTGGGGTTGGTGCATCAAAAAGTGACCAGTACAAGAAAGACTAATACAACAAAATGCCCTGGCCCGTATATGGAAAAAGACTGATAGGATGGTCTCTGTTCCTACTTGATGCCTTGCTTCAGCTGGAACTTATACAGACAGTGGGTAGAAACAGATGTCACTTGCTATATTTGTGCCGCTTTAAGTTTTATGGCAACACAAATGGCAAGCAAATAGACATCCCTCCAACATCAACATGGTGACAAAAGATACTAATAAACTGTGCCACTTTACTGAGGTTGACAACTATTTACTTTGTAGCAGGAGAGTAAGAACAGCCTGGAGCTGTCTGCAGTTTCCTGTCACCCTGGACAGGTTCTCTGGGTGTTTGAGGTGCCTGATTCTGGGCAACCAAGGTAGGATTGGGTCCCTCAAGCACTGGAGCACCTGTCTGGCTTTCCCAGTTTACAGGCATTCACCCCAAGGGAAAGTCCACATGTGTGCTAACATAGAAGCACAGGGCACAGGGAATTCCATGAATCCTGGGCCTACAAAACTCATGCTGACTTCTTCAGGCAGAAAAATGGGTCAAGCATGGGTCCCCATGTGGAGGGTGCTGAGGATTACCCAGCTTCTGTGCCACTTCATGCCACCCCATGCAGGGATCCAGGCAGACCCAAGCCTCCGCCTGAAGCACCAGTCAGTGTGATTCCTGGCAAGGAAGTGAGGGATGGTAAAGAAGCTGGGGAAACCCTGGTGCCTTACACTTCCTTGCCAGGACCCACACCAGCCCATGCTTTAGGTGGAGGCATGGATCAGTATAGAACTGGACATGGGGCAGCAAGGGACCCAGAGAATACCTGGGCAAGAGGAATGCATGGCCCATTGTCCTATTTTGGGCAGGGGGCCTTATGTAGGACAAGGAACAATGTGTGTGTTTCTCAGTACAGCTTATGAGCTACAGTGGGACAGGTCCTGCCACAGATGATCTGCTTCAGTTCAGCAACATCTGTTTCTATCCTAAGGTTCCAATTTGTTACTGCCAGCTTGGATTAAGTTTGAATAGGCAACGTAGGAGCAAAATACCACGTATGCTGGTTGTCACAGCTGCACATCCCTCCTCCTACCCTTTTGAAAATTTGGTGTGTGAGAGAATTTAAATTTCTTGTTTGATGGTAATGGTTGTATTTACTGTACTGATATATTTACAAGCAATGAAAAGCTCACAGAAAAATAAAATATATGGACAAAACAGGTAGAAGTTACTGTAGTGTTAGAGTGATGTTGTAGCCCTGATGATTCAGATTCAGGAATTATGCTAGAGGCAACGATTTTTTGGGGTAGTATTTTTTACTGGACCAACTGCATAGTCCGAATAAAGTTAGACAAGCTTTTGAATGTGTCATTCTTCCTTAGGTCTGAGGAGGAAATTAGACAGTAATTGTTAAGAATAGTGGATAGGGCTATGAAATTGGAGGCAGGAGAAATTCCTAGGTAGTTAGCAGAAGAAAAGAACCTTGATTACTGGGAGATCAAGACCTATCAAAAGGGAGGAGTGTAGGAAGAATGTCAGGGATCAGGTAGATGGTAGTATGTCATAAAATCAATATTGATTTTCAATCTTTGGTTCCTAGTTTCCAGCCAGTTTATGAAATTATGCTCCCAAGCCTACTTCTTTAAGGTGTTTGGTAGGTTTCCCTTGAGTACAAGAATAGTGATGCCTGAAAGAGAGTGGCTGTTCTGTGAAGGGTGTGCTCCTACTGATGTATGTGTGTATACTGTACATATTGACAGTTACTAGCATATATAAAGGCTAAACAAATAGCAACCCAGTACAACCATGTAATTTTAGTTTGGACTAGTGTCTTTGGTTGGAGATCAGAAGTAAGATAACACTAGAGTCTGCAATGGAGGAGCCCAAAAGACCTAGAATATCATAAAACAAGTTCTTTGTGGGGTGACTGGAAGGAGAGGAGGGGAGAACAGGACAATTTTCACATTCATACATTTCTGAAAGTGGACCAAATGCACCCTACTGCCAAACGAATGGACTGATACCAAATTATGCTTTTGTTTTATTAGATGAGTTTTAAAACCTACATGAGTTAAGGGAATAATTAATAACAGAAATATAAAACATTTCATTTTTGATACTATCAGCTATTCTACTATCAGTTAGTTTGAAACAGCAAGGATAAAAAAATTAAGGAAGTTAAATTTTAAGGATTTTTTTTTAATTATTTTAATTTTTAAAAAATAGTATCAAGGTGAAGGCCCCATCTTTTCCCTAATGAAATCAACAAAGACATCAGTGAAACTTCCTTGAGAGCAAGAACATGCCAAAAACTGTACAGAAATATAATTTAGGATCCATTTTTTACAAAGTAATATAATTATTAAAATTGAATTAACTCATTGTATTTAATGACAGAGGCCTATAAACAACTAGCATTTAATCCTAAAAGCAAATCTTACCTGTTTCCAGGAGGTGCACAAAGTTCAGCATAGTATTTGATTTTTGGTTCTGTCCCACTGGTCCTCATAGTAGCTACTCCTCCATTAGCAAAAGTAAATGTTATCATTTGGCTACTCTTACTGGTAGGGAGAATCTAGAAATAGACACATAATAGAGAATCACATGTTAAAGATTTGTTACTGGATATACAGAATTAATTTTTGATGGAAAAAACGAACTATGTTGTCTTTCTCTCTTGTGCAGTGATCACATTGGAATCACAATCTTTACTTCATTTTCAGAACCCAAGCTGAAGATATGTTCTGGCCTATGCATCACCCCTAGATAACATATCTAGAAGTCTCACACAAGTGTTGGCGGCGTACATAAAAAGCCATGTGATATGCATATGCTCCAGAAATAAAAAGAAATACCACATTTTCTCACATAGAATACACCTCAAATAAAACATGCAATCTGTTTTTGGAAGGCAGAGTATAGAAAAAAGGATTTCTCCAGAGTCATGGCTGATTGTGTGACCTAGGGTAAGTTCTCCTGGGAACACAGAGGACCCAGGAAAGTTGGTATCCCAGGAGATAGGCCTGGAGTGACAGGAAGTTGCTGCTGCCTACTGCCTCACCCAAACTGTTTCCTGGGATGCAACGCTTCCTGGACACTCTTTGTTCCCAGGAGGATTTAGTCTGTCACACAAGGTTAGGCCCCACACACTTCCAAGGGCAGCCCCAAGAACATTTGTTCTGTACTCTAAGTAGTTCCCTATATAGCCTCATCAAGATACTATGAGCAGCTCACTTGCTGCTTTAGGCACAAGCTACATTGCTCAGCCAACAGCCAGACACAAGCAGCAGCCTTCTTGGCAGCTGCATGGCATGCACAGTGTCTCCAGGCTTGCTTCCTTTCCAGTGAAGAAATACCCAGTTTGGGGGGAAAATGTGCATGTTGTAGGCAAAAAAGGTAAACACCTATAGAATCATGATTCGAATACGCCCTTAGACCTAACTTAAATACAAGTTAGGTATAGTCTACATTTCCTGTATCAATGCCAATGCTGAAAATCCCTTCACTAATGAGTTAAAAGCAAAAGGTACTTGTGGTACTACAGTTCCCACAAGTTTCGTCTTCTTTCCAGCTCAAACCCTGCTATGTTGCACAAATGAGACAAGATCACATTCTGTCCCAAAGTAATAATCTGTGTATTACTTAAATGGTAGTTTTGAATTCTCTTCTCCTAATTTAAGGTTTACTGAAGTGAAACAATACTCACAGCCTTTTGATCAGGTTGGCTGCTATCATGGCCAGTAGTTAGATCTCTTACTCCAGAAACTTTAAATCTACCACAAGATTTTGGGTAAGTGTTCTTCTTTCCATCATGATTCCTCAGATTCTCAAACAGTTCTTCAATAGTCTCAGGATCATGGCAGATAAAATATGAAGCTTTAGTAATATGGAATCCATACCTATTATGGCAAAACATAAGCAAATAGAGCATATAACATACTTAAACAGAGTACATACAGCAGGCACTATTCTACCTTTGTGTATATAAAAGATGTAGTAATATAAGAATAACTGATCCTCACAGTCACCTGAACTGTAGCATACATTTTTCCACTTACATTTAAAAAACAAAAAACTAAAACTGACTTGGTTTAACATCAACTCCCATCTCCCACACCTTTATTTTAATTGCTGTGCAAATATAATTTTTATAATAAGAAAGGAAAAAATGATCTTTCAAACATAGGAAAGAAAAAAAACAAGACTTGATTAAAGCCCACAAAAAAACTAGCCATTCTAGGATACGAAAACACAACATGCCCAACCGTCACTTGCTGAACGGTGATAGGCAGGTATTACTGTTATATGGATGCTTAAGAAATTGACAGCCCAGATTGTTTCAGAACTAGAATGCAGGTTGGTATTGCTGAAGTGAGCGTTGTGAAGGAAGATACACGGTTCTCTGATGCACTAACAGAAAAAGCTCTTCCACCAAACCTTAAAAGCAAATGCAGTTGAAGCTTTCCTGTTGTGAGGGAGAAGATTTTAATCTTCAACTGTACTGCTTCTTTTAGCTGACATTTTTCAGCTATCATCTAGGTCAGTGGTATCAAACATGTGGCTTGTGGGCCAGATAGGGCCCATGGAGCCCCATCATCCAGCCCCAGTGCTGCCCTTGGGTCTGAGCAGACTCACACCCACATGAGGCAGAGTGTACTCTGGACCAGCCCTGGGGGCAGGGCCCTAGATACACGCCATACACAGGGTGCAGGCACCTGCGGCACATCCCAGATAACTTGGAACTGGCACTGCATATACTGCAGTCCAGCCAGGGGTGCATAGTGCAGATCCCAGACTGGCTGGAGCAGTAGCTGCACCACAAGCACCACCTGTGCCAGCCAGACTGCTACACACAGTACCTGCCTCAGCTGGTCTGGGACCCGGGCAGCATGTGGTACCTGCAAACAACACTTGCAGTGTAGGTCCCAGACCAGCTGGAGCAGCAGTGTGTGTGGCACGGTTTCCACAGCAGGCCCATGAGACTGGATGAGTTCAACACGTTTTATTAGGGTTGCCAGATGTAATAATACAGAGCCCAGATACCGTCTTGCAAAATAAATCACTGGGCAGAACATGCAACATAACTGAGGATTAATCTAAATAACCAGAACTACTGGTTGCATGCCAGGCTAACGTGATCATCAATCCAGCACTTTGCCCAAATTGGCTAATTAATTTCTAAAGCAACCTTCCTTTCTATCTCCTCCTGAAAAAAATTTGTAAGTGACTTCCAGGATGTCTTAAAATGTCTCTTTTCCCAGAGCTTGAGATGGAATCACAGCTCATTTAGGTTTAAACTAAAAAGGTTGGAAGGATGACTAAGCCTTAGCTGTATCTTTCTTTTCTGCAGCTAAAGCTTTCATTGTGTACTCCAGAAGTAATTTTAGATGGACATGATTTGATTTCCAAGTCTGGCTGTAACAGACACAGGGCATCTACACTTGCATATTTAATGCACATTAGCCTGATTTAAGGCGCATTAAGAGCATGGGTCTACACGTGTGTACCCTTAATGAACCTTAAAAATGGTGATTTAAGGCTAATCAAGCCTAAATTTGATACCTGCATAAAGCCGGTATCAAATTTATGTGTGAATAGCTAAATCGCATTAGTGAACGTGTAGATGCGCTTATGTGCATTAACGTGGTGCGTGTCCGTTGACTTGAAATTAACTTTAGTCCCAAATTGGTCTGTACACCCATGTTAATGTGCATTAGCGCATGCACATGTAGACATGCCCACCCACATGCCGGTTAGACTAATGCACATTAGGTTTAGGCGTGCATAAAAGCACGTGTAGACATGCCTACTGTCAAATAGCACAGAGGCATCAGAAGAAAGGCACATCTTAAACACTACAGGGAGGACTTCTGTTGAAATAGAGGGAACATGCTACATTTCATACCTATAATCATTCAGTAATCAATGGTTCTTCTTATAGCATGAAACGTTTGTGAACTTCTTTCTATGTACCTTCTTTCTAGGTACCTAATTTCTAATTCACGTCTTACAATGCAAGATGCTTCTTACTATGATTCTTCAGAATAATCAGTCCAAAATGCCTTTAATTCACAGTTTTTATGTAATTTCTAACACGACCAAAGAAACTGGATGCTGGATGGGAGGCTACACCTCATCCACCTACAGGACTAGCGATGTTACATCCAGAATATCAGTATTTCCTTGGTCACAAGGCACATGTGGTAATAACAGCATTAGTGAAACGGCTGTATAGCTTGCCATGCAAAGCCTCAAACTGAACAGTAATTTGAGGCAATTAAGAGTATTTACTCTTGGAAGGTACGTGGTGAATGAATGTTTTACTTTTGTTTTCCTAGGGCTGACAACTTTCTAGTAGATAATAACAATTGTTTAAATACTACTCTGATTCTAAAGTATACCAATAATTTGCTAATGGGTATTATTTGATAAAGTACTTAGAATGAAGAAAATCCGATAATTAGAGAAGGAAATTAAACTTACTGTTCATAGACAGCTTTAAGCTGTTGAGCCAAAGACAAGTTCTTGGTTGCAAGAAAACTAGACATCTCTGCAGCTATAACAGCAGCACTAACACCATCTTTGTCCAAGACAGCAGGGCTACACATATATCCTAAACAAAAGAATTTAAACATGAGTAGAACTTTGTACCAAAATTAAATTAAATATACAAAGAGAAAAAAAAAATCAATCTAAAATAAAAAGTGAAGGAAGAAAGTGTCACACTGCAAAAGGTTTTACAAATAAAACCAAAGTATTTTCACATCCTTGGATTTTGAAAACCATTAATAAAAAAGGATTATGATAAATCCAGCATTCTGTTACTATTGTTTAGGTGTTTTCTTCTGTATTAAAGGATAAAAGTATTCCTAGCATTGCAGATATTTCAGTGCAATACATTCCACAAAGCACTTTCAGATTCTTTTGTGAAAGGCACTTTCTACATGGAAATGTAAAAGCATATACACACAACTCACAGTAAGAAACTCAAACACAGAGTTTTGTCCCAAACCCGATTCCTCCCACAGCAGCAAACAGTCATGCAAAAGCCTTCTAAAATAGCCATACGTAATTGATTCTGGTGTACTGGACTACTCAAAACAAGCAATTTGGGAGAAGAGGTATCATGGGGCTGCGTATCTCCGTACCAAATAGCACGTCTTCTCACTCACAAATAGTTGGTTAATTTTAGAAGTGCCACCCACAAAAACCAACCTGAAATTTAAAAGTCAAGTTGGTGTTTCTCTGGCTCATATGGAGTCTGCAACTGGAACTTACTTAATAATTGTCAATGTCCAAAAAGTTCACTCTACCATGGGTCAGCTCTTTAAATGCCAAGTAGCAAAAACTTTGCCAAAACAGATAATACTGAACATTCATAGGGAGAGACTATAACAATGGCTGAGAGAGAACCTAAGTACTTATACATATACTTCAAGAGAGTAAATATCGAAGAGGGAGGAGTGGGAAGTAAAGCTGTATAAGGTACAGGATAACGTTAGCAAAAGGACAATTGGTATAAGCCACTCACAATTAACTTGAGGTTAGAACAATTGGTATAAGCCACTCGCAATTAACTTGAAGTTGGAAATCAAAAGATTCCCAACTATCGAAGACCTTCAATGGAAATAGTTGGGGGGCAAAAAAAGCTAACTCTAAAGTGGAGCTTGATTAGTTTACAACAGGGTTTAAGAGACATGGGGCACCTATACACGTGTCAAATAACCGAGTCTGCACGCTAATTAGCACACTCCAGTAGCCTCGGCATCGCATGTATTCAGCACCCCCATGCTACAAATGGTAATGGGAGCACTTTAACTACAGCTCGTTTGACAAGCTTTAGTTAAAGTGCCCTGCCACCATTTTGAAGTACAGGAAACTGAATAGGAGATGCTACAGGTGCTTTAATTACAGCCACAATAAATTAAAGCAACCTCAAGAGCTGCTCTAATTAAAGCAAGCCTCCCCCCATCCCCCCCACAACCCCAGAGCACATGTAAAGATGCCCATGGTGCCTGCAATAGCAGGGGACTGGACTGAATAACATAGGAGGTTTCTTCCAGCCTGACATTTCATAGGCACTTTGGGTTTTATAGTAGACCTACCCTTTACTTTCTAATAGTATAAATAGCTCCAGTGCACAGTAATGACTTACCTATTGCCTCTTCAAAAGCAAACAAAACAGTCTTCCCCTGGTCCATAAGTTGCTTGGCTCGATTTCCCATCCATTTGAACCCGGTCAAAGTTTCCTACAGCAGTAACCCAAAAAGGCTGAAGTGAGATCTACCACAAAGGACCACAGTGAAAAAACATGGGATTTTACACAACAGTTTACCTCAAAGTGAAAGCCCTCCTTCAGTGCAATAGCTCTTAGGATTTTGGAAGAGACGGTACTGGACAACATGTATACATCTTTAATGGCACTTGGATCCTGTTTTTGATTTTTCCAACAAGTGAAGATCCACCAGCCTAAAAGAGCTCCTGTCTCATTGCCAGAAAACACTTTCCACTCACCACTGAAAATAAAGACAATATAATCATAGTAAGGGGGGGGGGGGG